ATGAATATGGAATAACTTTTAATTTATTTTGTGACTTTTATAATTTTTAAGCAGTATTTTGTAGAGCATGAGTTGTGTACAACTTTTTAAAAACTTATTTCTATTTTATTCCTTTTATGCTATTGCAAATAGAAGTATTTGTTAGTTTCTTTTTCAGATTTTTCATTGCAAGCATATAGAAATATAATTTGGAGGTATTGATCTTATACCTTTTAATCTAGCTCAATTCATTCATTAGTGCTTTTAGTAGATTCCTTAAAAGATTTTATATGCACAATCATGTCATCTGTGTATAGAGATAATTTTCTTCTTCTTGTATACTCTGGATGAATTTCATTTTCTTACCAAATTTTCCTGGCTATACCACCTAATACAATATTGAACTAAAGAGGTAAAAGCATTCTTTGTGTTGTTCTTGATCTTAGTGAAAAATCATCCAGTCTTTCATTATCAAGTATGATATTTGCTGTGATTATTTTTGAAAAACAAATTTTTTTATTTAAAGAGAAAGAAAAAATGGAGAGAAAATAACAGGGTAGAAACAATACAGAATTACAGAAAAATAAACAGTAAGAAATCACCAGTTGATAAGTTATATATTGTCATCTTAGAAATAGTTGTTCAGGTTAAAAAATTAAAGTATGTAAAGTGAAATTCAAATAGTGACACTGCCGACAGTTCTGCTCAATGATCCAACAAAAACTTAGTAATATGGTTATCAGTCCTACACTCTTGTTTTTTAAAGATTAAAGATATCAAAACAGAACAAAACAGTTCAAAAAGAAACAGTTTAAAGAAATACAAGTTTCAAAGCAAGTCCACTGGAGATCTTCAGTGTCTATCTTGTTGTCTCTAGTTTTCTTCCAAAGAGTTGTCCCCATCTTCACACACATTGAATACATACTGCATGTTATAGAACTAATCAAATCATTACAGGATGATGAAGGCTTTTTAGGTCTTCAAGATCTGACATTGGAGAGGACAATATTGACTACAATAGTGTCCCTCATTCTCTTCGTAGTAGCTGTCCTTATCTTTACATATGCTGAAATTGAACTTAAGAGACTACACTAATATCACTCTGAACAGTGAGTAATAGTATTGCTAGATTTTATATCATAATGCTACAGAATTAGCACTGGGTTTCTTAGTGTCTCTTCTTCTTCAGAATATCTGTTCATTACATCTTGCATTATATAATCTGTTCCCATAAATAGTTTGAAAAAATTTTCCCATGTGTGAATTTCTACATGTATATCTATCCTCTCTCTATTATAGGGAAAAAACAAATCATAACAAGACAGCAAAACAAATTCCTAGAAAAGCGTGCAATGAAAAAGACACGTAAGACCACATTAGGTGATCTACCATAGTTACTACACATTCTCTTGTTATTTTCAATAGATTTGTCCACATCATCAGACTTAATATAGTTAAGCATAGTATTACATAGCTATTTTTATAAAAATACAACTTTGAAAACACTGTAGGATTTGAGAGCAGTTAATAATCAAAACTGGTATGGATATCTTTTACATTTTGTCATTTTCAGAGCAGTTGCCTCCACTTTTAGACTTGATAATATCAAGCATACCAAATTCAAATAAAATCAGCCAAGGCAAAACCGCAGTCTAACAAACCAGATTCAAATAAGCTCAGTCATAGTAAGACAATGTAAGTAATACAGAGTTTCAGTTTAAGTTAATAGGAAATTAAGGATAATTACCATGGTATAACCTGCTATTTTGGGTCAGATGTCTGTGCCCTCAAATCTGATATGAGTGGACAGACTGGAATAAAATAAATTCAAACTAAACAGAGTGATAAGACTACGGTGACTTTTAAATCCTGATGCACTATTAACATTGTCCTCTGCCTTCCCTTTTTAGGCTATTTTCACCTTTCCCCTTTTCAGGATGCTTTGTATGTTTTGGGTCTCACTAGCCCCTGTAGTTTTTAGATTAGGGGGCCAGGATGTTGTCTATCTGAGTGTTGCTGAACCTTTCTACCCCTGAGCTTGATCTTGAGCTATAGTCCTTTACTCACTAAAGTCATAGGATTTTCCTTCCTTCCAGCTGTGTAGTTCTACACTGCCCAAAAGTGTCATAGCTTTCCAATCTGTCTGAGGCTGCTGGATGAGTTGTCCCGATTTCTCTCTGGTTTCCTGTCGCATATAGCTTCGATTTCTCATCTTTGACTTTCAGTTTATTAACCCTCCTTCAGGATGAGTGTATTTCCCATTCAGAGCATCTCGATAGAGCCTGCCTCCTAATCTACTCTGCCTGTTTGTTTTATTTTAGTGTATCAATGCTATCTATATTAAAGATTATTGCTTACCATCTCTGCCTCATGTCTGCTACTCCACTTTACTGCTATAATTTGTCCACCTTACTCCCTCATTCTAATGTCTGCCCCATTCCTTGAGGCCTCTCTGCCACTGTTGCTGGAATCCTGGTATCCTTTCCTCTCTTTCTCTGGAATGTCCTTCAGAACTCTCTGTAGGGTTGTGTTGGTGGCCATGAACTCCTACAGTTTCTCCTTGTCTTGTAAACATCTTATTTCTCCATTAATTTTGAGAGAGAGAGTTTTTCTGAGTATATCAGTCTTGGTTGCAAATTATTTTCTTTCAGGGTTTGGATAATTTCCCCCTAGGCTCTTCTCAGTTTGAGAGTTTGTGTTGATAATTTTCCCATTGTAGGTAATCTGCTTCTTTTCCCTGGCTGCTTTTAGTATTCTGTTCTTTTGGTGGATTTCTGGAATCTTGATTATTATATGTTTGGGTGTAGATCTGTTTTGGTTGTAGTTGGCTGGAGTTCTGCATGCCTCATTTATCTGGATATCATTTCTTTTTCCTATGCTTGGGAAGTTTTCCTTTAATATATCTGTGAATATTCTTTGTAGTTCATATTTGGTTACTTTTGATTCCTCACTCAGATGTTCTATTCTTAAGTTGTGTTTCCTTTTGTTGTCTTCTAGCCTTTGAATTGGTTTTTTCTGGTTCCTCTTTATTTGTAAGAGGTGTTTTATTTCATGATCATATATCATAAATCTCCCTTCAAGTTTCAAAAGCCTAAGTTTAGTTTCTGTCAAGGCATTTTGCCGGCTTTCAATGGAGTTTTTAGTTTCCTGGTAATTTCTTTGGATATGTTTCATGTATTCTAGGTTATGTTTAAATTCTTTATCAGAGGTTTCTCTTTCTTTTCTGAGTTCCTCCATTCTTTTATCTGTCTTCTCTTGGGAGGGGCTTGTAATTTCTTTAATTAATCTCTTTATATCTTGCCTCACTTGGATCAGAAGTACAGTTTTAAATTCGTCTATGAGGTCATGAAGGTATTTCTTAATATCTGGTGATGCTGTGTCTAGTACTGGATGGTTACTGTGCTGGTTCTCTTCTGTATTTACTTCTCCTGGCCTTATTTTCTCATGTTGGGCAGCTGGAGATTTTTTTAAAAATTTCTATGTCTTGTCATGTTTCTGGTTCCTTTCAGATTGGTGTGTCCTGGGGATCTCTTGCCCTCTCCGTATTGCTTAGGGTCTTTCTGAAGTGTGCTGACTGGAGTTTTTGATGCCCTCCCCAATTTACTGTTATCTGACGTACATGCAGGGATGCAGGGACAGCCTCCAGCCTCTGTGCCAGTTAATGCACAAGTTAGGCTGTACCTTGTGGGCATCACAGAATCGCGACTATTTTGTATTTGCTTATTGGGTCCCAACCAGAGGCATAGTTCAGCCCCAGGAGACCCTTCCAGTTCTCTCTGTGCCAGGGATGGCTGAATGATGTCACCATGGCGGCGGTCTCTGCCCACCCAAGCTGTCCTCCACCAGACCTCTCCTTTGCTGTGATTTTTTATAAATAATCTCTATCAAGACAAAGTGCACTTGATGGAAACAGTGTTAGCTGTTTTTTCTGCAGCTGTTCAAATTATCAGTGATTTTTGTTTTTATTCTGTTGGCATAGCATGTTGTATGTTTCATGTTTAACTTTGCATTTCTTGCAGATTTTACTTTGTAACAGTATATACTTCTTTTTACATGTTACTGGGTTCACTTTGCTAGTATTTTATTGAGTTTTGTAACTGTATTTATAACATACTGGTCTTTAGTTTTCTTTTATTGTGATTCTTTTGCTTTAAATTTTAAAATGTAAAATGGATCACCACGTTCCAGTGGGAGCCTTTTGTGCCGTTAGCCCTTTTGTTTCTAACTTTCCCCTCATTTTCTTTAACATATAATTGTGATCAAACTAAATTGGTTCCTTTCATAATCAGAAGGGATTTCCAAATTGGTTCACAAATTTGGATGCAAGAGCGACTTGGATGGTATATGACATGAATTTGAAAATGGGACAGCCATAGCACAGATCTGTTGTGTGAACCAGGAAAAAAAAAAGCCTGCTGAATGAAAATCTTGTGTATCTGGGGGGATCTTTGATATTTTAAAGCAAATCAATTTTAGTGTATGTGCTGCTCAAGTGAGCACTAAAACAAACCAAAACAAAGACACTGAAGATAAAAGTGGGTGTGAGAGATCTTTCATAACTCCACCCATTCCCCAGGATTGCCACTACAAAATTATGTATTTTAAATGGGTGAACTGTATAGTATGTAAATTATATTGCAGTGAAACTGTTTTATAGAAAAGAGATGTTCACAATATAAAGAATTAAAATTACACAGAAGTACATAAGTAGAAAATAGAAATCCTTCTCCTCCTAGTACCATTCTGCAGAGGGAAATAGCATTTACATTTTGGTGGATATCCTTCCAGATGCTTTTCTTGGACCAAAACTTACATGTAGCATATGTGTAAGTGTTAAATGGGTGCATGCTACTTTTTATGTTTTCACTTCATATCTTAAGGACAGTGTTCTGTGTCAGTACATATGCCTTCCTACATTCTTTCTGAGGTATATCTGGCAGGCTATGTTGTGCATATACATTTGTCTTCATTTCCTGGGGCTCATAGTCTGCTTTTATAAGACCTTTTCTTTTTTTCTCCAGGAGTAAGAGCAGCATGGGAAGCAAATCCCTGTCCCATGACAGCATCTTCATGTTCAACACTGAGTCTGAATCAGCAAGTGAAATGTTTCTTACAGAGTTCCAGGGAAGAAAAACTCTGCGGGTAACAGTGAAATTGAATATCAGGGTCTAATTAGCATACCTCTCCTCTTCTATTCCCTGCTATTACCATGCCCCCTCAAAAGTGTGTGTTGGGGTGGATTGATCCAACTTCTTAGCTGATTCCATTCTTCAAGACTATTTTTAGCATTGAATGTATAAATGTATAGCTTACCTGTTGCCCAGCACACAGTATTGGCCGGTATTACCATGTTTACTTGTCTTGTATCCCAATATACTGCTGAAATATTATTTTGACAGTGACATACATCGTTTATGTTTTAGTATTCCAACCTTTGAGTTTTTCTTCTTCTTCCACAGAGATCTCAGGCTTTCAGAACTCTGCCTAGAACTGGACCTTCATCTAGATCTATGATTGGGTTTGTGCCCAGAAGTGGAATCTGGGTTGCAGGTTCCAAGATCAGTGAGGTAATAAGATTAGACTAAGTCAGACAAATCTGTGCTTGAACTTTCTGCCACTTATTGATGCGTCATGCTGGGTTAGTTGTTTAACCTCCCTGAGAATCCCTTTCCTTATCTCTAATGAATCTGGTATTAACATTTATCTCAAAGCGTTGCTTGTGAGAATTGAATGAAGGCTTGCGAAATCATTCAAACTCACCCAGGTAATAATCTGACACAGATAAGTTAACCTCAAAATTCATGATCTTTTCACTGGTCCATTTTCTGAGATGCTTGAACCCTTTGTATTTGTCTGGACAAGACACATTTTCAGCCCCAGTAAAATGTACATATATGAGATAATGTCTTATCTCCAGCTAATTATAAACTGTAGAAGACAGCTGTTGCTCACTCAGACTCCTCTGGAACTCTGAACCAGAAATGCTCCAGATAGAGCTGGAGACGTTACCAGGAAGTCGACCTTTGCCAGCTGCCTCTTCCTTCTCTTAACATGCGCATGAGACTAAGCCCTAAGCCCTGTGTAACTGGGGAGGCTATATGAGGAGGAGACCTTCTCCACTGGAGAGCTGATTATTTTGCATCTGGCAAAATGTAAGTGACAGGGCTGGGGGTTTAGGTCAGTGTAGAGCGCTTGTTTAACATTCAGGAGACCCTAGATTCAATCTCCAGTACCTCAAAAACCACAAAAAAGTAACTGCAAGTGGGGCTTATATCTCATGTGTCTGCTAAATGCCCCCACATAGTTGCTCTAGTTTCTGCACAACAACCTCTGTTAAGCCAGGCATGGTGGCACATGGCTGTAGTCCCAGCACTCTGAAAAGCTGAGGCAGGGAAATTGCAAGTTCGAGCTCAGTTTGGGCAATTTAATGACTCATTGTATTAAGACTCTGTCTGTCTCATAGTAAAAAATAAAATTTAATAAAGGCTGAAGATGTAGCTCATTATGAAGATACTGGATTCAGTTATGTATTACAAAACAAAATAAAACTAAGAATTACTGGGAGTAAGCCAGTTTTACTCCCTGCCAGGCAGTCACCTTTGAAGCATTAGGAATTGAGTGCCTAGATTACTGAAACTTTATATTCTATTTACTTGACCACTTATAATTAAGAAGATGTGACCTACATCTTCTTAATTATTACCATTTTCCTGCTATTAAATTAAATAGAGTCGTTTAGGAAAATAAAACTACAAGGCAGTTTTTTTCGTATAGCTTTCAGGCCCAACACTCTCTGCAGCCGTCTTAAGAAAGTAGGCATACATCTGTTCTGACTGTTGCTTCTAAACTTCCTGAACTTAGCCTCTAGTATGGGACCTCCCCTTCTTGGCCCTTATAGTTAGGAGACAAAAGTACACAGTAGTTAGGAATCCTTCCTTTCAAGCTGGCCAGACCTTTACAATGGTTGCTGTGGCCTTAAGAGAACTAGCACCAGTTGTATTGGTTATTGGAAATGCGTTTCAGGATGGTTTGATCTGGCCACTTCCCCTGGGCTTCTGATGGAATCTGGTCACTGTTGTAAATCCATGCTTTTGGAATCAGGTATAACACATTATAGAGGCTTATCTGATATTTGTTAAGGATAAAATCAAGAATTCTGATCCACATCAAGAGGACCATGGCACGGATCAATGTCTCCAAGTGAAGTGTACCATGTTCCTTTTTTAAAATAGGCAATCTTTATTTTAAGAATGTATTTAACCTAATATGTCCAAAATAGTATTTCAAAATATATTCAATATTAAAATTATTTGTGAAGGCATATAGACCACTGGAATATAAGAAAGGGCTATAAATGAACACACATAGGTTAAATGATTTTTGATAAATGTACTAAATATTTTCAATGACAAAAGAACAGTTATTTCAGCACATAGTGCTGGGGAAAATGAATACCCACATGTAAAATAATAAATTGCACTCTTATTTTACAGCATATACAAAAATGAACTCAGTATGAATGAAATACAAAAACAAAAGAGCTAAAGTTATATAATGCTTAGAAAACACAGGGGAAAATATTCATGACTTTGGATTAGGCAGTAATTTCTTTTTTACTGTGTTTTCTTTTTCTTTTTTTTGGTACCAGGAATCGAACTCAGGACCTTGAGCTCGCCAGGCAGGCATTTGTAACTTACTGCCCCTGTATCATGATATTTAAATTTAGAATTAACTAAACTAGTTTAGAGTTGCAAAAAAACCACAGATAATGAATTTTTACATTCTTAGGAAATTAAAATTACATCTGTAGTGACCTGTCTTTCTTCCCTCCTTCCTTTCTTCTCTCTCTTCCTTTACTCCCTCTATCCTTCCTTTTTTCCTTTCTTCTTTCATTTCTTCCTCTCCTCCTAAGTTAACCTGATAAATCCCCAAAAGAACCCTAATGACCAAGTTTCATACCCTTAGGAAACTAGGACTGAACTGGTCACTCTTTACCTTTCCTTTCCATCCCTCCCCTTCCTTTCCCTTCCCTCCCTCCCCTCTCCTAGCCTCCCCTCCTTGCCCTTTCCCTTTCCCTCCCTTCCATTCCCTTCCCTTCCCTTCCCTTCCCTTCCTTCCCTTCCCTTCCCTTCCCTTCCCTTCCCTTCCATTTCCTTCCCTTCCCTTCCCTTCCCTTCCTTCCCTTCCCTTCCCTTCCCTTCCCTTCCCCTCCCGTCCCTTCCCTTCCCCTCCCTTCCCCTCCCTTCCCTTCCCTTTCCTTCCCTTCCCTTCCCTCTGTTCCCTTCCCTTCCCTTCCCGCTTTCCCTTCCCTTCCCTTCATTTCCCTTCCCCTTCCCTCTCTTCCCATTCCTTCCCTTCTCTTCCCTTCCTTCTCCTCCCTTCCCCTCCTCTCCTGTCCCTTCCCTGCCCTTCCCCTTCCCTCTCTTCCCTTCCCTTCCCTTCCCTTCCCCTCCCTTCCCCTCCCCTCCCTTCCCTTCCCTTCCCTTCGCCTCCCTTCCCCTCCCTTCCCCTCCCTTCCCTTCCCTTCCCTTCCTCTCCCTTCCCTTCCCTTCCCTTCCCTCCCTTCCCTTCCCTTCCCTTCCCTTCCCTTCCCTTCCCTCCCTTCCCTCCCTTCCCTCCCTTCCCTTTCCTTCCCTTCCCTTCCCTTCCCTTCCCTTCCCTTCCCTTCCCTCCCTTCCCCTCCCTTCCCTTCCCTTCCCTTCCCTCCCTTCCCTTTCCTTCCCTCCCTTCCCTTTCCTTCCCTTCCCTTCCCTTCCCTTCCCTTCCCTTCCCTCCCTTCCCTCCCTTCCCTTTCCTTCCCCTTCCCTCCCTTCCCCTCCCTTCCCCTCCCTTCCCCTCCCTTCCCTTCCCTTCCCTTCCCTTCCTCTCCCTTCCCTTCCCTTCCCTTCCCTTCCCCTCCCTTCCCCTCCCCTCCCTTCCCTTCCCTTCCCTTCCCCTTCCCTCATTTCCCTTCCCTTCCCTTCCCTTCTCTTTGCTTTCCTTCCCTCCCTTCCCTTCCCTTCCCTTCCCCTCCCTTCCCCTCCCCTCCCTCGCCTTCCCTTCCCCTTCCCTTCCCTTCCCCTCCATTCCCCTCCCTTCCCTTCCCTTCCTCTCCCTTCCCTCCCTTCCCTTCCCCTCCCTTCCCTTCCCTTCCCTTCCCCTCCCTTCCCTTCCCCTTCCCTCATTTCCCTTCCCTTCCCTTCCCTTCTCTTTGCTTTCCTTCCCTCCCTTCCCTTCCCTTCCCTTCCCCTCCCTTCCCTTCCCTTCCCTTCCCCTCCCTTCCCCTCCCCTCCCTCGCCTTCCCTTCCCCTTCCCTTCCCTTTTCTTCGCCTCCCTTCCCCTCCCCTCCCCTCCCTTCCCTCCCCTCCCCTCCCTTCCCTTCCCTTCCCTTCCCTTCCCCTCCCTTCCCTTCCCTTCCCTTCTCCTCCCTTCCCCTCCCCTCCCTTCCCTTCACTTCCCTTCCCTTCCCTTCTCTTCTCCTCCCTTCCCCTCCCCTCCCTTCCCTTCCCTTCCCTTCCCTTCCCTTCCCTTCCTTTCCCTTCCCTCCCCTCCCTTCCCTTCCCTTCCCTTCCCTTCCCTTCCCTTCCCTTCCCTTCCTTTCCCTTCCCTCCCTTCCCTTCCCTTCTCTTCCCTTCCCTTCCCCTTCCCTTCCCTTCGCCTCCCTTCCCCTCCCTTCCCCTCCCTTCCCCTCCCTTCCCTTCCCTTCCCTTCCTTTCCCTTCCCTTCCCTTCCCCTCCCCTCCCCTCCCCTCCCTTCCCTTCCCTTCCCTTCCCTTCCCTTCCCTTCCCTTCCCCTCCCTTCCCCTCCTCTCCCCTCCCCTCCCTTGCCTTCCCTTCCCTTCCCTTCCCTTCCCTTCCCCTCCCCTCCTTTCCATTCCCTTCCCTTCCTTTCCCTTCCCTTCCCCTCACTTCCCTTTCCCTTCCTTCCCTTCCTTTTCTTTCCCTTTCATTTTATTGCTCTTCCTTCCTTCTTTACTTCTTTCCAGGTTTCAAACCCAGGACTTCACACATACTAGGCAAGCACTCTGCCTCTGAGCTATACCTTAGTCATACATCTTTAAATTTTCTTTAAAATCTTAGAAAAATAAATCTTAACATGCTTAAAATAAGCAATCAGCATGGTCAGCTTCCAGTTCAGACAGTTTCTGGAATAATAAGCGTGAGGAGTGTCACTTGGATGAAATCCCAGGCTCAGATTCTCCTCGCAGACTCACCTCTCCAAGAATAGGACTGCAGACAAGACACAAAATTAAAGATCAAAGTCAAGCAAGAGGTGTATTTAACACCAGTAAGAAGATAACATTGGGATTCTGGTTTTGATTACACGAGCAAACTGAAGCTTCTGCCTTTGGAAATTGGCAAATGTGTGCAGCAACTCAGAAGTTTAACCAAGGCTGTTAGGTGTAGATAGGTACTAGGAGTGAAGGGAGGGAGCCAAGTGGTTCCTTCCTGGACCTATTGTTTTCTTATGAAGTTTTTATTTCTCCAACAATTAAGGAATGAGAGAGCAGCAAACTGGGGAAAATCATTCAAGTTTTGACTTTTTCCTTTTCTTTTCTCCTTTGACAGATCCCACCACTGCGTCCACGCCAACCCAGCCTCAGCCCACCTCTTATCCGAGCTGAAGAAATTTCTAAGGACATTGAAAACATGTCTATTGATGATAATCTACCTAAAAGCCCACAAACTAACACTTCATCACAAATGATCTTGACAGCAAAGAAGGTATTAGCTACTTTCTAAGAGATGAGCTGAGGGAGAGTCCCCCATCCCATACATAATTTCTTTTTGTATTCTCTTTTCTACTGCTACAACTCTAAATAAGGGGGAAATTAGAGTGATTATTTGTTTGGGAGAGGAACTGCAATTCTTGGCTTTTGTTTTGTACTGTGTTTTACATTTTCCATCCAATTCTACAAACCAAATAATCGCCATTTTAATTTATGAACAATGGAGGACAGTTTTTCAGAAATAGTAGTAGTTTGAAAATGTTTTCAGTTATTTTGTCAAAACAAAAATAGTGATTTTTTTGAAGTACTAGGGATTCATACTGAGTTTTTAAATTTTATTGTGAGACAGGGTTTCATTAAGTTGCTAAATTGCCTAGGCTGGGCTCAAACTTTGCAATTCTTTCACCTGAGCCTACCAGATTGTGGCATTTCAGAAGTGTGCCACTAACATCAATTAAAAAGAACGAGATATTTTTTGCTCAAAGATTCTTTACTTTCAAATTTTGAAATCTCAGATGTTCAGGCATGTAGTAGTATTTGATAGACAGTTGACACATGAGTGAATATGTGTGAATGTTCATCTTCAGCTCTGCTAACCATAGAATGTCGATCAACAATTGGAAAATTAGTAAATTTTACTCATATCAACACTCTCATTTTCAAATTTAATTTAATTCATTGGGTTATACTTGGAAAGACTTTTAGACTAATACAGATTTTAGAATAATTTACCTTGAGAGCTAACAGTAAACAGAAATAATTTATAATGAAAACTACTGGTTAATATTGTGGATTAGATCTAAAACATCCCCCAAAAGTTTCATCTGTCCAGAGATGGGGCCTAGTCAGCAAAGGTGGATCATTGGGGACATGACCTGGGAGGGTATCTTCTTGTCCCCAGAACCTCCCTTCTTTTTTTGCTTCTTGGCCTCATGAGATGTACAATTTCTCTTTACCATGCTTGTCTACCATTCTGTTTCTGCCTTGGAGCCAGCTGGCTATGGACTGAACCCACTAAAACTATACTTCAAAATAAACCTCTCCTACTTTGAGTTGCACATGCCAGGTATTTCATCCCAGCAACAGGAAATTGACTGGTACAGCCAGTCAGAATAAGACTCTATTTTGTTGTTAAAGGATCCTATGAATGGAAAAAACCTTTGATTATACATGTAAAAAATAGGTTAGGATTTAAAACAGATTGGTAATAGGTGGGTGGACATTCACTGATTTATGGATTTGGGCCATAATTATATATATTTTATGCAAAATACCTCTAAATCAGGTGATTTTGGATGGACAACTTGAACTGGTGAAAGGATTAAATTAAGTAATATTTTTATTGTGGCAAAATCAGATGACATAATGGTTTAAATTTACCATTTAAACCACTTTAAAGTATATAATTCAGTGGCATTACATGCATTCGTAGTGTCATACAACCATTACCTGTACGTAGGTCCACAATCAGTGTAGCTCTCTCAAGTAGAAACCTAGTACCTATCAAGCAGTGATGTGCCATTTTTATCTTCTCATCAGCCGCTGACAACTACTTTGCTTTCTGTCTCTATATTTTCCTTTTGTATTCATTCAATATAAGCGGAATCATTCAATATGTGGCCTTTGTGTCTGGGTTCTTTCTTGTAGCATAATATTTTTTGAGGTTCATTCACATTGTAGCATGTATCAGAACTTTATTCTTATTTATTGTTGCATAATACTCCATTGTATGTATTACCATTTTTCTGTCTTTTTGAGACAGGGTCTCACTATGTAGTTCAGGCTGGCCTTGAGTGGCCTTGAGCTCACTTTGTAGCCCACATTGGTCTTGAACTTCCAACGGTCCTCCTGCTGAGTCTTGAGTGCTGGGATTGCAGGCATGCGCTAGCACACTCAGCTCTTATCATGTTTTATCTGTCCAATGATGGACATTTGTGTCCCATCTACTTTTTGGCAATTGTGAATAGTGCTATGATGGCATGGTGAACATTCACATGTGAGTTTTTATTTGAACACCGGTTCACAATTTTGGGGGGTATATACCTAGGGGTGTAATTGGTAGGTCATGAGGTAATTATATGTTTAATTTTTTGAGGAACTACCAAAGTGTTTCCCAAGTAGCTGTATAACTTTATATTGCTTTCCCTTTGGCAATGTAGAAGGGTTCAAGTCTCTTTACATCATAGCCAGTACTTGTTATTTTCCTTTTAAGAAATTATATTCATGACAGTTAGTATGAGGTAGTATTTCCTTGTGGTTTTGACTTGCATGTCTCTAGTGACTAATGACTGATGATGTTGAGCATCGTTATTTACATGTGCTTGTTGGCCATTTGTAGATCTTCTTTGAGATATACAAATATCTATTCAAGTCCTTTGACCATTAATTAACTGCGACTGTTGTCATTGGTTGTTGAGTTGTAAGACTCCTTCATACAATGTGAACATTAGACCTTTATCCAATATATAATTTGTGGATACTATGGTTTCCCCATTTTGTGAGTTGTCTGTTAACTTTCTTTCTTGATTATTGTTGACTAACAACTTTTAAAAATTTTTTGACGAAGTCCAACTTTTCTATTTTTTCTTTTGCTATTGGTGCTTTTGGTACCATATCTACTTGCCAGATCTAAGATCATGATGTTTATCCCTGTTTACTTCTAGAATTTTGATGGTTTAGTTCTTATGTGTAGGTCTTTGGTTCATTTCAAGTTAATTTTGTATGCAATGTGAGGTAAGGATGCAGTTTTATTCTTTTTCATGTGGATACAGTTGTCCCAGCACCAATGTTAAAAAGGTGTTTATTTTCAATTGAAATTTCTTATTATCCTTGTTGAAAATCAATTAGGTTTAATTCTGGATTCTTAATTCCATCATTTATCTAAAAATCTGTTCACACAGTATTGTGTAGTATAGTTTACTATAGTTTTGTAGTAAGGTTTGAAACTTTAAAATGTAAATTCTCCAATTTTGTTCTTTTTCAAGATTGTTTTGGCTGGGGCTAAGGATTTATCTTAGCGGCATAGGCACCTGCTAGGCTAGGTCGTTAGTTCTATCCCTGGTACCAAAAAAAAAAAGAGATTGTTTTGGCTATTCAGAGTCCCTACCTATTTAATAATTCACTTTTCCATGTCTTCAAAAAGGACTATTGGAATTTTGGTAAGAATTACATGGAATTTGTAGTTCTCTTTAGGAAGTATGAAACATTGAATGTATGGTTTTATTTAAGTCTTTTAAAATTTCTTTCAGTTATATTTTGAAGTTATAATGTATAAGTCTTGCCTTCCCTTGGTTAAATTTATTCTTAAATATTTTACTTTTTTTTACTTAGAGAAAGAAAGCAAAACAGAAAAAAAGGTAGAAATAATACAGAATTTAAAAAACAATAAGAAACCACTAGTTGATAAATTACATATTGTTATCTTATAAGTAGTTGCTCAAGTCACAACATCAAAGCATAAAAAGTGGACAATCAAACAATGACAGTACAGACTCAGGTTTAGCTCAGTGTCATAAGCACCTGCCTGCCTACTATTTTATTGTTTTGATGATATTGTAAGTGGAAGTGTTTTACTAATTCCCTTTTTAGATGTACCATCTCTAGACTTTATAAATACAACTCATTTGTGTATGTTGATCATGTATCCTTCAACTTTGATGAATTCATTTGTTAGCTCCAGTAAATTTATAGGGATTTCTTGGGACTTTCTGTGTATAAGATTCTGCCACTTGTGAGTAGTTTTATGCTATTCTCTGATTTGGATGGCTTTTGTTTCTTTTTATTGCTAATTACTCTGGCTAGCCCTTCCAGTAGAATGTTGAAAGGAAGAGACAAAAAACAGATATCCTTGTCTTATTCCTGCTCATGAGGGAAAGCATCTAGTCTTTCACAGTTAAGTATGTCAGTAGTAGATTTTTTTTCATGTATACCCTCTAGATCTAGTTTATTAAGGGATTATTTTTTTTACCATGAAAAGATGTTGGATTTTGTTAAATATTTTTTCTACATCAGTTGCGAAGATCATGTTTTCATTCATTTTATTAACGCACTGTATTACATGGGATAGTTTTTATATATCCTTGAAACCTTCAGATAAATACCAGTTGGTCATAACCTGTAATCATCTTATTGTGCTGTTGGTTGTGGCTTACTAGTATGTTTGCATGTGTTTACATAAGGGCATTTGGCCTATAGCATTCTATTCTTGTCCCTTTTATCTGACTTCGATATCATGGAAATACAGGACTCGGAATCAGTTAGGAAATACAGGTATTCCTCTTGTTTTCTTGGAAAATTTTGTGAGAGATTGCTACTAATTCTTCTTCAGAACGTGGTATAATTCACCAGTGAAGCCATGTGTTGTGAGATTTTGATTACAGATTAAATCTTTTTTTTTTTTTTTTTTTGGTACCAGGGATCAAACTCACCGCCTTGCGCTTACCAAGCAAGCACTTGAGCCTCTGAGCTAAATCCTTGGCACAGATTAAATCTTTTTACTGGTTTTGGTTTATTAAGATTTTTCATTTCTTCTTGAATTGGTTTTGGCAATTTGGATATTTCTCAAAATTTATTCATTTTATCTGGGTTATCTAATGCGTTGGCATACAAATGTTAATACTGCTGTCTTATAAAGCTTTTTATTTCTGAGGTGGACAGTAATATTCTCACAGTGTGATTATACTAATTTGTGTTTTCTATCATTTTCCTTTGTCAATCTAGGGGAAAATTATCAATTTTTTTCAAAGAAAAAACTTTTGGTTTTGTTGATTTTCTATATCTTGTTTTCTATTTCACTTATTTCGGCTTTAATCTGTATTGTTTCCTCCCTTCCACTAGTTTGGGCTTTGATTTGGTCTTGTTTTTCCAGTTCGTTAAAGTAGAGAATTCATTTTTTTTTTCTTTTCTTCTTCTTTTTTTTTTTTTGGTACGGAGGATGAACTCACGCATGCTTGCAAGCAGGCACTTATGCCACTGAGCTAAATCCCCAGCCCCTAG